GCATCCCATTTTGAGATTTGGGGCGGCAGCAGTTGCAGGGTCAGCGGCCAGCAGGGATCAAGTATAGAAGAGGGGCAGTGGGGAGCGCACGCAAGTGGTGCAGCTTCATGGTAAGCACCCGAAAGATACAGAAAGAGGCAATTCGTGATGATGCTGCCAACACCCGCAGGCGCACTGGAGTTGTGCGGCGGGGAAGAGCAGGAAGAAAACAAACGGCCCTTGAAATGTAGACCTGCCCGACACACCCCCAAAGGCACACACCCGCCCTTCGCGCGCGGTCTACATTTCAAGGTCCTTCATGTCGGGGTCTACAGTTCAGGGTGCTTGGGCCTCGCGTGGGTCGACTACGTTTCAGGGTCCGTTTGGTCGGGGTCTACATTGGAGCCCCCTTGCGTGGGTCTACATCTCGAGGCTCTCCTCGCGGGTCTGTGGCAGCAGCAAGCGCAGTAAATGTTTTTCCCTTGAGCCAACAAGAGTACGCGTGAGATCCTGACACGCACACTATATGCAAAACCTGAGACACAAATTATGCTCACCTGTTTCACAGGTAAGACTTTCTCCCAGGTTTTGCAGCCCCAAAGCGCTAGGCCCCTGTGGCCTGCGCCTTCCGCAGTACGTCTCCTGAGACGACTGCGTAACCCTCTGGAGAGAAAGGAAAACAGGAAAAACATCCTGACATTCTAGCAACAGACTTACTGAAACCTGGCATCGGATGACAGGGCAGAGGTGGAGAGAGAGAAGGAGGAGGGGGAGGGACCACCACCACCACCAACCTCCTGGACCAGGTCTTGGAATTCCTGCCACGTCACCAGCTGCTGGGCCTCTAAGGTCTTCCTGGAGGCGGCCTGGGTCCGGCTCTTGAGTCCTGGCGTCGTGCGTCGTCGCTCTACCTCCTCGGATTCGTCAACCAGGATCAGCTTTCCGCTGATCATGAGGTCGAACAATGCTGCGTTGCCCTTGGTGATGTCGTCTTTGGTGAGGGCGTCGACTGGCATACGGCCATGGGGAATCCAGCGGATTTTCCCCTTCGCTTCCTCCAGGGCAGCGCATATGATGGCCATGTCGATGGCCGTCCTCCTGTCCCGGGCGCTGGCGTTACCCTCCTTCATCATGGTGTCGTAGATGCTCTTGGCGTCTACCACGTGGACCTGACGTTCACGAGAGCCTAAGCGACAGTCGCTCCGTAGCATGGTCGTGAAGGGCCCGGAGCCGCGACGGTGGTCCTGCACGTTGACGTCCTGGAAGACTACGTCCCGGTACAGGATTTGCAGGAACTCGACCTCGGCGATAGCAGCACTGAGAGCCTGAGTCTCGCCGGCGAGAGTCGACGGCACCTTCCGGCGAAGCTTGGAGCTTCTCCAGGACAGCATCGAAGCCTTGACGGCCTGATTGCTGAGGACGTCGGCGTCGGCAGCAAGCACCATCCAGGCTCCCTGCGTCGGGTCGTCGGGTAGGCCCTTGTCGTCCAGCATGTCGTCCTTGGCGCCCACGCCGCCGGCGTCCGAGAAGGAGACGAAAGCCATCCTCTCCGGATCCAGTCTCCACACCGTCAGCCCACGAGATGCGGTGGACCGGAGGTGGCGGACGAGACGGTTGGCCAACGACACGTCTCCGGTGGTCGGCGCCTTTAGCCTACTGGCGAGGATCGAGGCCACTCCTGCTGCCTCGGGTCTGGTCTCTCGTCCTACCCAGTTGAATTTATATACCAGTGATCTGAGGGCCTTGAATTCGGAGTGTTCGAGAGGAGAGTCTTTGCGGGCCAGGCGACCTCGGGCTACTGATATGGGCTTGACTTCTTCCAGAATGTACTTTTCTTGGTCCAGCACGGCACGGGTAGGACCAATCGTCACTCTCCGGCCGGCAAAGTCGACCGGGCCCTCGTGGCAGTTCCTGTACTTCCCGAACTTGAATCGGGATTCCAGCGTCTGTCGTAGCCAGCTCCTAGTCGTCGAGTCCGCGCTGGCGATGAAGAAATCGTCGACCTCAAGAAGAACCATGTTCAAGATCTGGCCCCGGGTGCCGTACCGCACCCACCAGCAGGGTTCGAGGAGGCTCTTGATGAACCCGTGCTGCTGGAGGAACTTGATCACTGTGCGTCTCCAGGCAACTGGTGCGTCGTCCAGGCCGTAGACGTTGATCCGCAGTAGAATCAGTGATCCCTTCGGCAGTTCTATGCCCTCGCAAGGTTCGACGTAGATGTCCCCCTGCGACCGCGTCATGGGGTCTGACTGGCAGAAGGCGTTTTTGACGTCAGCTATGTCCGCCAGCATGCCCAAATTCATGAGCACCTGGACGAACAACATGATGCTGGTCGTCTGGGGAGTCGGGGCATAGACCTGGAGAGATCCTGAGTCTGGGTCACGGTGTCCGTGAACGCACCAGCGGGATTTGGCCAAGGGCTCCGATCCGGTGCCCTCCACGGGCTTCCAGCGCCGGACCATCCGACTCGAGATAATCCGCTCCGGTTGGGCCTTCCGCACGGCTTCCGCCTTGGAGGGAGGTATGACCTCCACCGCTCCGGTGGCCATCATCGCCTCCCATTCTTTCTTGTCCGCAGCTCGAAACTTCTGTCGTTCATCGGGCGTAAGCTGCTTGAGGCTGACCTCGCCTCCACGGCTGGCCGCGAAGGAGCCGTTCCCCGGGGCAATCAGTCCAGTCCAGTCGTCGCTGTGGTCACCCAAGACCTGGCTGGCCAGGACCGCCTGGACCCCCTGGGTACCACCACTACCACCGGGGAGGAGGAGGAACTCTTCCCTCTCCTGCTCCGCTCCCGCCTGTCCCTCCTGCCGGTCGCGAGGCGACCGGCTCCGGCCTCGGACACGGCCCGTCTCGAAGTCCTGGATGATGTCCGAAACTGGCCTCCTACCCTCGGCCCGAGAGATTGCCGGGCGCTCCTCCCCTTCTTCGCCGCCCGGGGAGGGAGGAGGAGCAGAGGCGGAGGACGGAGCCGGCGGGACGGGAGCAGAGGCCGAAGGTGGGAGACCCGGAGGAGGAGAGGGAGAGGAGGGCCCTGAATCTCCGTCGAGGAGTCGAGCTCTCTTGACCTCCGGCGGGCTGCTCGCAGCCCTCGACCTTCGGATACACATAGGCACGTCCTCTGGCTGCCTCAGCCTCGTTCTGGGAGTGGGACGGCTCGCCTCCGGAGGAGCAGGAGGAGGAGGAGGAGAGGTAGGGGAACCCTCTGGCTCAGCCTCACCCCCGACAGGTCCCGTCTCGGAATCGGGATCCGTCACTTGCCTGGAGCCTCCGCCCGATGGTCCAAGATCCTCCCCGGACTCCTCCGCGATGGAGGGAAGCCTGGTCCTCTCACTACCGGCTTGAGCGTCCACCGACCCCGCCTCCGAGGGGGGCCTCGGTCTTCCCATGGCCTGAGACACGGGCTCCCTTGGGTGGAGCGGAGGCCCGACGACCGAAGGAGGAGAGGGAGGAGACAGCACTCCGACACTCTCGGGATCCTGAGTCGACGGAGGGACGGGTCCGGAGGTGCTCGGCACCTGGGGCCCTGGATCAACGTCGGGCCGGGCTGGTTCGTCCCAGGCCTCGTCTGGAGGTGGTCCCTCCCTCTGCACGTCCACAGCAGCCGCTCTCCGGGTGTGAACCTGGGCCAGGAGCTCCTGCCACTGTGGACTCTGGGCCAGCTGAAGACCGTACTCCTCCTCGGGACTCGCAAGCCTGACTTGCTCGACGGAGCACTTCCAGAGCCTAGCCCGAACGGCCACCCAGACCGTTCCCCTCTCACACAGCACGACCACCCCGGGACCGGTCCAGCAGGCTCTCCTTCGACCCAGGGCGTCCGCCCTTGACGACGTCCTGCTGAGATTTCGCCACACGAACACCCACTGGCCGGGAGTAAACTCCTTGAACGCGGGTCCCCGGGCCCTCGAGGCACGGCTTATCTTCTCCCGAGCCGTGGTCTCCATGGCCAGCCTGCGGGCCACGGCTCGGACCTCCGGAGCTCGCGCAAACTCGGCCCCTGCTGAGTCCTGCTCAGAGGCCGGACAGGTGATGTCGTGCCATCCTGGGAGACCGCGAGCGTCGTCGGACAGAAGCTCGTGAGGCATGCGGGGGTTACGACCAAAGACTAACTGCTGAGGGGAGAACCCTCCTCGGTGCCAAAAACAGTTTTTATGGGCGACAAGCTCGTGGGTCAAATCATCAAGCTCCTCGACGCTGCTGGGGAGGGACACTCCAGCGTCGATTTCGGCCTTCAGGCGGTCCTTGACCCAGGCACCGTGGCGTTCAACCCTCCCGTTCTGCCACGGACTGTCGGCGTCACACACGTGATGACAGACGCCCCACTGTTCAAGGCCTCGAGCGAATCGCTCTCCGAACTCCGCCCCCCCATCGGATATCAGGAAGTCGGGAGCCCCGAAGGGCCTGACCCAGCTCGTGGAGAAAGCCCTCCACACGGTGACTGCCTTGGCGTCAGCCAGGCGGGCGCAGACCTGCAAGTTAGAGCCGTGGTCGACTATATTCATAAACGGATAGGTCGTCCCAAGAAACTCCAGGTAGAACAGATCAATCCCCACAATGTGGTTGAACCTGAAGGTCCTGGGCATGGCGACCTTCCGGTGGTTGCTCGAGCGCTGCCGTTCCTCACATTCGGAGCACCGAAACTTACATCGAGCCCACCGCACTAAGTGTCTTTTAACCCCTCCAGCCCTCAACACGCGACAGAACTTCCGAGAGTCCGGATGACCCATATTCACGTGCAATTTGAAAATGAGCCGCTTCTCTTCCTCGCTGGGATCGGGGTCGCTTGGCACTTCGGCCTTGCGCCGGTCAACTCGGGTCTCTGGCTCATCTCCGCTGCTCTCGGAACCTTCCGCCTCGGCTTCCTGCTCTTGGCCCAGAGGCTCGCTTCCGTCGTCTGCCGCCGGGAAGGCCTCGGAGAGCTCGGCCCACGTGGGTCGGGCTCGAACTGAGGCGCCACTCCACTGGTCTGTCACCGCTCGGGCAATCTTCTTGACAAACTTGGGGGTGTATTTCGCAGCCCTGGA